CAAGGTGGCATGTACCAATGCCATCTCACTAGTCCAAGTGATCAATTTCAGTTCACAATTGATCATACTGATAGGTCTAAGAATCAAAGGGATCACAGAAACAAGACTAGTGTCTGCTAATACTAACTGATAGAATTAAAAATGGAGAGAGCGATCCAACATGGGAAGCGAGATATACAGCAGACTCATAGAATGGCGGATGTCCTAAACAGCACTCTGGCCTCAGAATCAGCCCTTAAGGCATTTGGATATGGTTGAGGAGCCCATGAGAGTATTTTAGGCATGGAAAGCCAAGACAGTGTGGCAAAAAAAAAAAAAAAGAGCTAAATGAAAGATCTCTGCAAGTGAGATCCCAGTGGAAAGAACAGGTCATCAAAGAAGGAGGTACCTTTCTCTGAAGGGAGGAGAGAACTTCCACTTTGACTATGACCTAAATAAGATCAGAGTCAGCGAACTCAAAAGGCCTCCATAGCCTTGGCATCTCACGACAAGAGCCTTAGGTGATCACCGATGCCATAAACAAGAGTGTCAATTTGTAAGTCAACAACAGGAGTCATTGTGCACTTACTCCTCATGTAGGATCTCTGTCCTTAATGTGCTATAAATTGTGATTTAATGCTGTAAGTAGTACTGAAACAGTATTTTTCACTCTGTGTTTCTGTGTGGGTGCAAACTGTTGAAATCTTTACTTAATATATGCTAAATTGATCTTCTGTATATAAAGATAATTGAAAATGAATCTTGATGTGAATGGAAAGGGAGAGGGAGTGGGAGAGGGGAGGGTTGTGTGTGGGAGGGAAGTTAGGGGTGGGAAAAGGCCACTGTAATCCAAAAGTTGCACTTTGGAAATTTATATTCATTAAATAAAAGTTAAAAAAAATAAATTGAATGGCTGTGAAAGAAAATTGGAACATAGAATAGGGCACTAGTCTTGTGGTCATCAAATTTATGTTCTACTCCTGATTTTCATACATTTGAGCTTTGTAATGTTGGATAAGAAATTTAGTGCAACTCTGACAGTAAGTCCCTTAAGTTGAAATAATAAGACTGTCTTACAGATTTCAGAAAGAAATGCAGTGAGATTAAGATGTAACACCTCCCATGTGAAAGTGCTTGGTAACTCCTAAGATGCCAAAGAAACATAACCCTATTTAGGTTCCTACACTATATCTTGAATCTGCATAAGCAGCCAGGTTTTCTTGGTACTGTCTTTATGATCAAACTGATAGAGTGGATGAGTGGAGGAGACGGGTAGAGAGACCAGTTTGAAGAATAAAATGGGTGGGAATCTGTTACACCAGCCTAGGGTCCTGGAGACAGGATGGATTGAAAGTCATATTCAGGGGTCATTCAAAGGGGGAAATTAAGTAATTGAAGGTGCAGATGCATGCAGATGTGTGATGCTATCTATCACTGAGAAAGGAAATGGCAAAAGTAAGGTGAGAGGACTGGGGTGGGTTGAACAGGACTTGTAATTACTTAGATGTGTGGTGTGAGGGTGAGAAAGTCACTGAAGTAACTCCAGGACTCCAACATGGGAATGTGAATTATTTTGGTGCCTTTGCTAGTAGGATGTTCAGGAGGAGCAGAACTGGAGAGTCCAAGTTCCAGAAGGTAGATGGAAACATGGGCCCATGCACAGGCATTTGGAGGGATGTATTGTTTCAGGACAAGAAGAAACTGAACTAGAGGTAAACAGACTGGGAAAATTTGAGGGACTGATAGATCAGTGATAGCACTGATAGATTAGGGAGCTTCCTGGGCTAGGACTCACTCTGGACTTTATTAAGGGATAAGAGAATAGCATAATCTGAAGAAATAATTTAACTTGTTTTTAAAAAACATCAAACACAGTAGATAAAGTACTATAAAATAGAATTACTTCAAATTATATGAAGCCCACATTTCATTGCAACTTAGATGCATTTGGAGTATCTAATGTATCTGATATAATATGCAGAAATACCCCTCACCACCAAATATGCTCATTTGAAATCTCTGGATAGCGGCACCTATCAGAGAGTGTGCTTAATGAGTTGACTTCTCTAAAAATGTCTGGATTCCTTCACAATTCATTCATACACAGTGACCCTGTAAACAGGAAAATCAACTAGAAAATACAATGCAGTTTTAGATATCATTCAAATTAGAAAGAGAATACAACATCATTTAGTTCATCTAAGAATGTATGAAATCATTGTAAAGAAAATTAAACTTGTAACACATAAAATATCTTAATAAATGAGATATACCGATAGACTGGATAAAGAAATTATGGGATATGTACTCTTTAGAATACTATACCGCAGTAAGAAACAACGAAATCCAGTCATTTGCAACAAAATGGAGGAATCTGGAACACATCATGCTGAGTGAAATAAGCCAGTCCCAAAGGGACAAATACCATATGTTCTCCCTGATTGGTGACGACTGACTGAACACCAAGAGGGAAACCTGTTGGAGTGAGGTGGACACTATGGGAAATGGTGGCTTGATCAGCATAGCCCTGACTGTTAATGAACAACTAAATACATTATCCCTCTTAGTAGTTTTTTTTATCTGTTCTACTTAATATGACTGGTTTAGATCTGTAATTGATGCACAGTTATTCTTAAGTGTTGAAAATTAACTGAAATGTGATCCCTGTTGAACATGGTGGTGGGAATGGGAGAGGGAAGAGATGTATAATTTGGGACATGCTCAGGCTGACTTGCCCCAAGTGGTGGAGTTGGAAGCATACCAGGGGATTCCAATTCAATCCCATCGAGGTGGCATGTACCAATGCCATCTCACTGTTCCAGGTGATCAGTTTCAGTTCACAGTTGGTCACGGTGAAGGGACTGGGAGTCAAAGGGAGCACATAGACAAGTCTAGTACCTGCTAACGCTAACTGATGGAGTAAATAAAGGGGAGAGTGATCCAACATGGGAAGTGAGAATCTCAGCAGACTCATAGAATGGCAGATGTCCTAAATAGCACTCTGGCCTCAGAATCAGCCCTAAAGGCATTCGGAGCTGGCTGAAAAGCTCATGAGAGTATTTCAGGCATGGAAAGCCAAGACACTCTGGCAAAAGATCTCTGTGAGTGAGATCCCAGTGGAAAGAACAGGCCATCAAAGAAGGAGGTACCTTTCTCTGAAGGGAGGAGAGAACCTCCACTTTGACTATGAGCTTGTCTAAACAAGATAAGAATCGGAGAACTCAGAGGGCTTCCATAGCCTTGGAAACTCATGACTGGAGCATAGGGAGATTACTGATGCCATAGACAGGAGTGTCAATTGGTAAAGTCAACAACAGGAGTCACTGTGCACTTACTCCTCATGTAGGATCTCTATCCTTAATGTGCTGTACATTGAGATTTAATGCTATAACGAGTACTCAAACAATATATTTCACTTTGTGTTTCTATGGGGGTGCAAACTGTTGAAATCCTTACTTAATGCATACTAAACTGATCCTCTGTAAAAAAAAAAAAAAAGAAAAAGAAATTATCAATTCCCAACTTGACTCTCACTGGGATTAAACATGACAATAGGTCTGCTCTGATTTCATCATCATTTTAAAAAATCATCTATTATTTTTCACTTTATGTTTCTGTGTGGGAGCAAACTGTTGAAATCCATACTTAATGTATACTAAGCTGATCTTCTGTATATTAAGATAATCGAAAATGAATCTTGATGTGAATGGAAGGGGAGAGGGAGTGGGAAAGGGGAGGGTTATGGGTGGGAGGGACGGTATGGGGGGAAAACCATCGTAATCCATAAGTCGTACTTTGGAAATTTATATGCATTAAATAAAAGTTTAAAAAAAAATAAATGAGATATACATTATATGCTGGTGAGACTAATGTGTAGCAGCAGGAAACAAACTGAATGCAGTAGAGCAATTGGGAAATAACTTTTAAAACAGTACTGGTTAAAAGTGGAAAATATTTGGGTTTATAATGTACTTCTGCTAATATTACAAGTAGACCACCTATATATGTAGTGCAGTACAATTTTACGTGGTATAGAAGTAAAATCATATTTGGATAAAGAGACAGATCAGGTAACTGTAGGATAAAAATAAAACAAGATTTTACTTTCATTCAAGAAGGAGTGCCTGTTACTAGACTTCCTCTGTCACTGAAAACAACCAGAAAAATACAAAATAGCTATTTTCCCCCCACTGTGTCACAGTCAGCACTGAACTGGATTCCTGACAGAAGAAAAATAAATTGAGCCTCAATTTCTCCAAATTTGTCCCTAGAAGCCCTAGAAACACTTTCTGAAATGTAAGTGGAGGGGGAAGCCAAGGCGATCATGAAAATATTTCTGTATTGAGGAGACACAGATTAAGAAAAGAGAATGATGCAGCTGAGAATTTTAGATATACTAGAAAAAAGATATATAGATATGGAAAAAGAGAGACGAGCAGGAGCAAGGAAAGGATGGAGGGAAGGAGACAGAGAGATGGAGAAGGAGAAAGAAGAATTGTGTACAGAGTCCATTTGAATCTTTGTCTGCTTACTCTATGGGTGTACGGGGTGAAGCTCAATCGGGCTGAGTAAAAGTGACTGGAATGTTGAGTAGAACAGTCCAAGTACTCACACAGTTTTGGGACAAAATTGTATCTATGAAATACATGAAAACTGACCTTTACACTAATAAAAATTACAAAATAAGTGAATTATGACCAGATATACTAGAGAATACTTGTTTCTCTTTGTGAAAACTCAAAACTTGTATCATAAGGCACACAAATATACCCTGAGAAATGTGAAGGATACATCAGAGAGAGTAATTTCATGGCATTGAGATTTTTTTCTTTACCCAGAATTCTACAAATTTATCAGTTGCCATTTTTAATAAACAGCACCATTCATTGCCCATTAGGGCAATTAAAATATGACTTTCTGAGTCCTTAGTTCATGCACATTTTATTAAAACACTACAGAGCTCTGGTGCAGTCATACCCTCTTAGAGGAGGAGAGAAGCAGTTCTGTTTAAAACAACTTACCGGGTTCTGATGGCACCAAAGGACACATGAAGGTGAGCTCAAAGAAGAATAACCTGAATGCAGACAAGTCACAGAATATAATTACAAACTATCCCTGAAATAGAATGATTTAAAAACTCACAAGTAGGAGGGAGGTTTGGTACTTACTTTTCAAAATGTTCATAAAGTTCCAATGATAAATTTCCTGTTCTCTTCATCTATGGACATACTGAGAAAACCTGTAGCTAACTGAAAGTTAAACTGTCTTCACAAAGTGTTAATAAACCCATCTTGCCATCTTTAGTCTCTCAGAGAAGGCAAATGGAATCACAAACAATGTTACACTAGAAAATATTTTCTACCTTCTTTTTTACAATGGAAAATAGCATCCATTGTGATAACACCAGGAGTACAATCTGTGCCTCAAATTCAGCTCTTCCTTTGCAATTCTGTCTTCCTTAAATGTGACTGTCTCCTTCTCTGTCTGAAAATTGTCATGGCCAAACGTGGAGATTGTGTTGACGATCCTGAGGTCAGCCTTCTCCAGAGCATACCATTTGTTCTGTACCAGCAAGGAGCTGAGGTGGTTTAGCAGGTGCTTCTTGGTTTGTACCACACAGGTTTTCAGTTTGACACTCTTTCATCAACTCACTGTAGTGGACAAATAACCCAGAGGGTAGATGCTTCTTTGGCTTTTGAGCTTGTTCAACTTCATGAAATCAGTCGTCTCATCTTGACCAAATACTTGGTTCACAAACTTGTTGTTCCAGCTGTTCCTGGATCCAGTCAAGTTTCTTGGCCACAGCGTTCCCACACAACTGGACCTCCATCATGAATACAAGGTAAATAAGAAGGAGGGCGTGTCCATGGTGACCAAAGTAGATCCAGAACCCCTGGTGGTTTTAGGCATCATTGGCTACATGGAAAGCCTTCAAAGACAGGTGTTCAAACTATCTTTGCTTAGTGTATCAGCAATGAGTGAAAACGAGTCTTAGGTAATAATTGTCATAAAACACAGAAGGACATCATCAAACACTGCATGAAATGGCAGGATTACACTGGCAAAAAAGCAGCTGGAGGACTTCAAGAGCATGAGACAGTAATGCCCAGTCAGCAGTATCACTACCCCCATCCAGAAGTCCCTGCTTCCTCTACCCCACCAGAAACTGCCTTCTTCACCAACAATATTTTTTAAGCATGACACGAAATTTCCCTTCTAAAGTGGCCACAGCTGTGTGATGACAAAAGGCTCTCCATTTTTATGTGGCACATCTTTTGGTGCATGTGAAAGCTAGTTTTATTTTTCCTCACTTTCTTAGATGATGGCAACAGCATGATAGTTTTGCTTTCATTAGCTATTTTGTACTTAATCTCAGCATGTGGGTTCAATTATTGGAGAACCCAGTCTGGTGGGGAGCAAGGGTTGGTCTCTTTACAGTTTCCTCATCTGGTAGATCCTCTGGTCTCTCTTCATAGCAGAAAAAACATGGCTTCTCTGGCTAAATGTAAGCAGATTTTACTGTTTCACATTTTCCCTGAGTTAGTAATAAGGACAATGTTTTGTTGTCATGGTTGCTGCTGATCTGAAGCCCATGAAATTTGTGAAATATATTAAGGACATTGTCATGTTAGATCCTTAAGCATGTTCATAATTTGAAACAATATTTACCAAATATAATCTGATTGTTAATACTAAAGATGCTCCCATATTAATAAATTTCTGCTACAAGACTGGTTTCTATACATACTGAGTTAATGACTATATTATTTAATGTATATTTTTAAATATCAAAGTCATTTCAATGACAAATAGTGACAGAGACCTTGCTGTTGATCTTCATTGTTTGGGTAGACTTAGATGTTCTACTCCTCTACCTTCACAGGCTCTCTAAATCACTGGTTCAAATCAGCATTCATCTCAAATGTCAGGAGCCCCCAACTGTTGTCACTGATCATTGGCCAGGAAATAATCCAATTTTCTTACTTTCACAGGAGCTTATTTCCCGGAAAGGTTGAATTGCTCTCTTCCAATTTCTTAAATTTCTCATGTGGCATCTTGTAAAATCTTGAAATTTCATTTTGATCTCCAGCCAATTGTTCATGAAATAACTTACAGACTGTTCCAGAATCAACTGGCTTTAGACCACCACCAAGTCATTTTTTTCAGCTTGATATCAGCTAACTTCAGCACTTCTTACCAATGTTGTTTAATTTTTTATTTCACTTTCAAAATTGTGTTCTCATTTGCTTCTGTTTTTCTTTTTCTTCTAATTTTGAGTATTTCTCACCTTCCAATCAGCAATTTATACTCCCTAACACTTAGAGCAGGAAACAGAATTCACCAAAAAAGTTTTTGTATATTTACCATTAGTGACACCTTGGAGTTACTGTTGCTTTTCCCACTTCCGTAAGGCAAGTATATGGGTCATGGAAATGCTGCATAAGTATACAATTTCATGGCAGGAAGCAGTCTTGGGGTACAACAAGGAAGATATGGCTTCCCTCTACAAGATGCTGTGTTGAAGTCTCAGAAAGACTATTTTGGAGCATCAGCAGATTCCATGAGTGCAATTTAGTTAACACAATCATAACAATGATTGAAGCATTCAAAATTGCTGCTAAGTTCTTGTCACAGTTAAATCCCTGCATCACTAGCTGTTAAAAGTTAGATACCAATACGAGGTCATTGGCATGACTCAGGGTGCTTTTGAATTATCTTGCCCAAGGGTGCCATCAGATCCTTGTTCAGTAAACCCCACCAGCCATGGTGATCTGTATCTGACCACAGAAACACATGCAATAGATCTTCATGGGACACTTTTTTAGGCACTCTAAGAGTTCTGATATGATCCAGTGTATCTGTAGCTGGTGAGAAGCTCTAATTAATACAAAAAAAGAGAGATGTTCACCCACCAACGCTGTGATAAAAAGCTCAAAAGATCATATGATTTTTCCAAATATTTGCATTTTCTTCAAAATTTATCCTGGAAGCCATAAACTTGTATCACCTGTCTGTTCTCTTGATTCCCTGGGAAAATGGTGATCCATTCCCAGTAATTAACCTGAGGCAATGTAGCTGTCTCACTGGCAGTCTTTCCTTAGTCAACACAATTTATCATAAACAAGCAATTTGTATCTGGTGATGTGCCCCTAGTGCTAAACATTTCTATGAGATGATGAAATCACCCATGTATATCTCAGAGCCAGTGACTGGACATCACCAATCCTGCATGCTGTTTTTTCTTGTTATGGTTTCTGAAGGTTTCTCTTGCAGACACTCTTGATGCAGGACTCAGACAGCTGGTTATACCTATTCAGTTGATTTATCTGCTGCTCTGCCTTCTTGGTGAACATATTCTTGTACATAAAGCAACCTCCCTAAATCAGCTACCTCTAAGTCAGTCCCATGCCACCACTGTTGAAATATATGCTAGAGGCACACTTGGGCATGGTCTCCGACCACTTTTGGTCAGTCATCATCAGTGTGGGTTGCCAGCTCTCCCCGAGATTCTTGGGCACCAGTTGCTGCAGCTCAGAAGATGAGTTCTGTAATGTGGAGATTCATGTTGAAGCCAAGATGTACAATCTCCCCTATTGATAACTTAACAGAACTAATATTAACTTTGGAGTTAAAGGCTCCTCTAGACTTACATAGCAAAGTCTCTGTTTATAGTACCAATAAGAGGCCCAACTCCCCTCCAGAAAAAAAATCTGAATACATTTTAAAGCAAAACAAAAGGAGTCATTCAACACGCAAAAATTCACAATGGAAGACATTATTTAAAACTATTAAAAATTTAGACAAGTGAAGAAGTTGGAAAGTGGTACTATGACTAGGAGAAAAAAATAAATAAAAACAAACAGAAATAGAAGTCATTAGAATTATGAAGTTAAATTCAAAACCTTTAAGACAGTTATTATCCACATCTGAAAGGAAAATAAGGACACCATGTGAGAGGCCCTAGATATAAAACAGAACAAAATGAGAGCCCTAAAGGTAAAATTACATATGAAATGTTTCATGGAATTGGGCTGGAAAATGAAGTACAAAGGATTAGGAAGTGAATTTGAATATATCTCAATAGAAATTACACAGGCTGAAACCAGGAGAACAAGTCAAGAAAAATGCACAAAAGCCTCAGTATACACACAAGTCTTGACACACAAGTTACTGAGGTGAGAAACAGAGGAGTGGATGAATACAAATGTTTTTAAATAAATGCTTTAATTATTTTAACATGTGGTGAAAATTACGAAACATAGAGTCAAAGAGGTCCTTATAAACCAAGGAGGATGTACACAAATAAACCCATACGAAACCTAAGTTGCTGAAAGGCAGTAACAGAAACATCTTCAGAGAAAAGAGATTGTATACAGAATAGCATTTATTTCCCAACACAGTTTGGCTATTTTTCCATTACTTTATAAAGTATGATCAGCTTGAGAAGTCTCAAAAAATATTTGCTGGAATCCCAAAATATTGGTAGTTCAAATGATGCTATCAAAAAGGAGGATGAGCACACATCTTATCCTTGTACTGTCTTACCTCTCATATTAGGGTCAAACTAGTTGACAGATTCAACCTTCAGAGTGCTGAGAATACAATGGAGGTCCTGCTGTCTTCCTACAGACAGAAACCCTTTGGCAAGGTTTTGGATCAAGACAAATGGAGTTTAAGTACAATCAGGTCAAATCAACAACTATAAAAAAATCACAACCCAATATAACAAAAATGACAACAAAAAGAAACCGAGTCCCAACCTATCTATACCAGGGTCCTTGTGCCCTCTGTGTGGTTCTCAGGGCTCATCGTTTTTTTGTACTCACTTTAAACTATGGCAGATACACAGTTTTATGCTCCAAAAACAGAGTAGATGTTTTCCCCACCCTGATCGCCTCCTTTTTCCTCACTGGTTCTGAAGCCTGCCCTGCGGTTACAGACTATGTTCCAACATAAAGCCAGCTACAAAGCTAAAGGTTGATGCAACTTTTTTATCAGGAAGGAGAAGATCCAATAGCCTGTCTGAAGAAAAGGTAATTGTTAAAGTTACTCTGGCATGTGAACAGGGTGAAA